CCAAAAAAAAAAGTTCATGAGAACAGAAAATATAATCTCCCTTTATAATACAAATATAAGGTGTGATCAAAGTAAATGGTGAATGTTTAAATTGTTTAAATGTTACACTAAAGGACATATTGCCATTAATCCCCCTCAAAATATTCTTTCTCACTGCAAACACCCTTAGCATTTTTGCCACATTCTGAAGCAGTTCTGGTGCTATCCAAAAGAAAGGAAGGCTCAGTCAGCGAAGCATCAGTGTCCTTACCAGCTTCTCCATGCATGTGGGACCGTGCAACTTCTGGCTCTTCCTCAAGTCAAAATGATCACGAAAGGTAAACATCCTGAACTGGCTCATGACACCCGGACAGCCAGGACAGCACAACTACAGACACGAAAGAAGACTTCCAAAGCTGTTTGCGAAAGTGACAAGGACAAAGAGATATGTGTTCGAAGCAAAAAGGAGTGCTCTGAAGTGGATTAATGTCATCGTGTCTCTTGGTATTTAAGTTAAAATTAAACTTAGCTTAATAGTTTTGAGTGCTCACTGTATTTTTTATCACACCTCATATACTATATCACATGTACTGCAATACATAATTGTTACATGCAACTTTATACATAATGCTGTTGTGACTAGTACCTGATATTACATTAGACATTTTGCTGCTTCCATTTCATCATGTAACACATTGCATATTACTCAATTTATACCGACAAGCTATATAAACCAATCTTCCATCATCTCCTTCATCAAGGGTGTTCCTTTATAACATAGTGCAAAGTGTACTTCTTCACATGTCAGCAAAGTAACATGATTTCCACTTCAGTAGGGTGTACCAAGAGGTAACAGACTAAATATGTATTCCCTGGCCTGGAGGCACGCAGTTATGCATTATGAAGGAAGTGAGAGAAGAAAAAGACGGAAGGGAAAGCGGACAGAGGCAGGGAGAAGGCATAAAAATAAATGTACATGTACTAAATACCCACAATGAATACAAACATATATATTGCAAATACAAACTAAAATAGTAATATTAACAATAATAATGAACATGGAAGCCAGGCATGGTGGTGCACACCTGTTAATCCAGCACTTGGGAAACTGAGGCAGGAGGATCACCATGAGTTTGAGGCCAGCCTGGGCCACATAGTGATTTCAAGGCCAGCCTGAACTACACAGCCAGAGCATGACTCAAAAAAGTAAACAACAACAAAAATAATAAAAATGAGGAAAGGGAATCCTAGAGATGAAGGGAGGCGGGTGGATGGGGATGGAAAAAGGAATAAAAAAGAATCAAGGTATGTTATATACCTACTCCCTAAGATGAATGTAAACTTCATGTATTGCAAACATGTAAGTAAAATAAATTAAATAAAAATAAATGATATATTTCCTGTTCTGAAGAATATACAAGGAAGACACAACCAGCTTTTCCATTAGAGAAGAGAAAACTTGAGCCAGGCTATATGAGAAGTAGCAGAAACAGACCAGCAGAGTGACATGGTAACCCAAGATCTAAGACCAAAGACCTAAGACCCAAGGCCCAAGGCTACACATTCCAACTCCAAGCACAATAATGCTGCTATTTCTCCAGCAGGGGGAAAATGGAAAGGGGGAAGAGGAGGAAAGTTTCGCTAGTAAGATCAGTAACACCTGAGAACTCACATATATAACTCTCTGAACTGCTCTGCTACTCAAGAATTTCATTCATACAGGTTCTAGAGCAGTGATGGAGAACCTTTTAGAGCTTTCAAGGATATAAATGGCGCGCTACAGCACAGTGCACAATCACTGTTCTAGAAGGTAACTGAAAGTAACATGTGGAATAATGGTGGGAGATTAAGAGGTAGACCCAAGTGTTGGCAGAAATGAGAGAGTTTGTGGGCCTATGGGCTCTACCACAACTCACTCACCCCTGACAGTGTAGCACAGCAGCAGCTATGGGCAATGCCTAAACCAATGAGGATGCTACTGCCCAGTAATACTTAATTCACAGAGAGTTCATGTCTCAGAGGCCACAGTTTGCTGACCCATAACTTAAATCTTGCTACATCAATAACAGAAGGTTATTTCGTACAACATTCTCTTTCACTTTTCTCATCCCTAAAACCTTTTCTAACTGAGATGGGTCATCTCCAAAAGGAGGGTGCATGTCAAGGATGAAATTATGCCTGTCAGAAATAGTAACACGAGCACTGGTATCATCTGATCCTTCTCTTTCAGCAGCAAAACATCTTAAAAATGAGTAACCATGAAGTATTTATAGAATTATAAAATCATCATTTACTTTTAGACTATAAAGATAACTACTACTTGAACTAGACTTTATACTTATACACGCACAAACCTATAACCACCACTAGCATCTTACTCTAATATCTTTTAACAATAAAAATCTATTAAGGGCTGGGGATTTAGCTCAGTGGTTCCGGCACCTGCCTCGCAGGCGGAAGGACCTGAGTTTGATCCCCAGTACCGATCCCCCCTCCAAAATCTATTAAATATCCAACTTTGTTTGTTTTTTTTGGGGGGGGGGTACCTGGGATTGAACTCAGAACCTTGGGCTTGCAAAGCACGCAGCGGCACCACTGAGCTAAATTCCTGGGCCAACTTTGTATCTTGACAGTCTAAAAGCCTAATGTTCTGATACAACAGAAAAATACCATTGCAAACTGTTATTCATGTGAAATGACAATTACTGTGTTGTTTTAACATTTCTGGATATCATGTGTGATTTCCTAAGGAGCTGGAATTAATTTCAATATTGCTAATGTAAATTGCTTCATTACCTACTGAATACATTTTAAAGTATCCCAAGTAAATTTTTATTATTTGAGAATATATTTAATTATTTCAGAAAAACTAAAAGTCGTTGGGGGGGGTCCACCCACAGAATTTACGGATAGAGAATAATAAGGAAAATAAGATTGGAATACTAATAACTTGTATAACCCGAAGCCTTAGCATTTATATAACCACAGGAAATTCTGTGGTTATGAAAAGAAGCTTGAAACTTCGTTTTTTCAAAAAATCATTTAAGTCATAGTTCAAAATAAATTTAAAAGCTTGCTATGTAAATTTGACATTCTCTTGGGCCGGGGATTTAGCTCAGTGGTTTCGCCACCTGCTGTGCAAGCGCAAGGACCTGAGTTCGATCCCCAGTACCAAAAAAAAAATAAAATAAATTTGACATTTTCTAACTTTATTATTAATACAGCTGAAACAATAGTTACATGGAACTAAATTAAGTCAATAGTAGATTTTCATAATGTCCTAATCAAGACAAGAAGTAGCCCAGATTAAATGAAGTTATTATTCATCGAAAAAACATAAAAAATGGGGCTGGAGATTTAGCTCAGTGGTTTTGCCGCTTGCTACGCAAGCGCAAGGACCCAAGTTCAATCCCCAGTACCAAAAAAACCCAAACAAACAAAAACCATAAAAAATATACCTTTAAAGTATTTTTGAAAAAAACCCACATATTTTTTGCAAAGCAACTTTGTAATATTAACAGCTGTCTCCACTCCTATTTTTTTATTTGGAAAACAGATGGCAAAAAGTAATCAAAATTAATCAACACAGAAGGACCATGTCCATTTAATTCAACACGCTAGCCAGCTGGCAGAACCCCTTTAAAATGGTGCACTGCACCTATTGGGAGCAGGTGTAGGTAAAGAGATCTCAAGAAACCTCAAGGGCAGCCAAACACTAGGGGGCAGCAGCAAACTGTTGAGGATGACACGCGGCAGTCTACGGGCAAGCTTTTAGCTTTTGTGTAGCTAGACATAAAACATAAGCATACATACAGTGTTGCACTGGGATGGAACCCTGGGCCTCATGAATGCTAGACCTCTGCCACTGAACTATACCCACAGCCTCCCTATGTTGTAATTTTCATGAGAATGATACTGTAACGAAAGATGGCTTAAGATTAAATCTGTTATTAAAAAATTTAGCTTTGTTTTGATTATTTCTCTTCCATTTCCTAAAGTTTACTTTTATGTCCAATTTAGGAATATCAGTTTTCATCCTTAAGATGGGCACTACATAAGTAAGGGCTGACATATTTATCCAAAGTGTTTTCTTACTGCTAAACTTAAGGGTTTTTTCCAATTAACATTTTAAAACTTGATTAAAGAGCTACAGAAACAAGCTTTGAAAATTCCTTTCATGTATCATGAGCACTACGTGACAAAAAGCTGTGGAGCACACTGTGGAGCACATCTGCCATCAAGGAAGCAGGTTTGGCAGGGGGAGAAAGGGAGGTAATTATAGAACAGAAAATGCAAGAAAGGCAGAAAAAAAAGTGTGGTTATTACATATGAAGTAACAAAATAAAATAGGATAACTGTTTCCTCCCCAAGAGGCCCACCTGGAGAAACAATCAAATCTTATTCTGGGGGTAACAAAATTATGAGAGAAGAAATAGTACTCAACAACCAATAAAAGGATGCAATGTATATAGAAAAGTACAATGATTAAATACTGCACTTGCAGTCCTTTGGCTTCTTATCTCACTCAATGGTCACAGTAAACTCAGAAGATGGGTTTTATAGTGCTTCAAGTTCACAGATAAAAGACTGAAATAAAGCAACTTGATTACAGTAACCAAAGAGTTAACAGGAGGATCCGGGGTTTGAACCTCTAATGCCACTCCAAACCCATACATTCTTTCGAATACTGGCCAATACTGGAAATGGAAGAGGGGGTGGACAAAACAAAATAATATGGACAAGTACATTTTCTTGCAAACAAATGGGGGGGCGCTCTGAGGCAGGAGTATCTGCAGTTTGAAGCCAAGCCCGTACAGCTTAGCAAAATACAAAGCTCTGAAGATATAGCTCAACACTTCCTGGGTTCAATCCCCAGTATCGTGCACATTTTTAGAAAAAGCAAGTGATCATTCCAGCTGCTGAATAGCTATTCTTGCTATACCTATATCCTATTTTTTCCATAAGTCATTTTTTAAAAAGGGACACATCACCCAGAATAGTGCCTGCATTCTAAACCTGAGGCCTCCTCAAAGTACTTCAAATCAGGTGTCCAAAAGATACAGTAAAAGAACGGGGCTGGCTTTTGCCAGTGGTACAGAAATCTGTAACATAACTCATGACAAGCTAAACACCCCAAAATGAAAATCCAACACTCCAAAGTCCCAACTGTTTGGGCCACCAACGAGTCGAGGGAATCCACATTGTGACCTCCTGTCTGACAGGCTCCATTCTCCCAAGAGAATGCAAGTAGCACTGAAGTCTTGGTGGGGATCTGTTGACAGAACTCAGGTTGGTGAATTTGGATAAATGAAAAACAAGCGTAATGTAATTAGTCACCCAACTTTAGTCATTCCTTCAGTATTCCCGAATGCAGGCAAAAAGTGCAGTAAGATGGACTACCTGAAAGAAATCCCTGGAATTCTTTCAAGATCGTTTGCAGTCCTGACTAGTCTGCAATTAGTCATCCCAGCCACTACTGTTGGAACGCAACGCTTTACCAAAGCAGGGGTAGTTTCACCATAGGTTGTTGTTGTAATCCTCCATGTCTGACCGTACTGCAAACCGTCTGCACATCACAGAACCAAAAGGTTAAAAACGCCTGCCAGCATACTCTTGCTTCGTTTTCTGCATAGCGTTTATCACTGATGCCTATACCTGTTTCTGTCCCTGGCGAAATGCGCAGGGCGGATAGGATGCGGGTTATCTGGCCTGGCTCCACGGTCTAGGAGAAAACGGCTCGCAGCAAGGTGCTCGCACCCGCAGGTACGGAGCGGCCCGAGTCTGGAGGCGAGGTTTCTGCCGCGTTAGTAAGACCTGAACCCCGGTCCCCAGTGTACGACTTGCGGCGGCACCGCACACAGCTCACAGCCCAGACCGCGAGACAGGGCCGCACGCCGCCGCTGCAGGGCGGCCAAGAACGGACCGCGGGAGGC